ACTGAAGCACTTTCATTCACTGGCACCTTTTAACAGAGGTCAGCACAGTTTTAATCAGTGTTAGCTTTTGTTTCAGTTTTGGACAACCAATGAAAGGAGGAAAGATGGGTCTAGGAAGAAACAAACATTTTTTTTATTAGCATGTTGGTTTGTGTGTACAATTCATTTCAATAGCAAATCAGTAAATACAGGAACTGCATGTTAATCGTCTGTTAAATATAGTTCAAATCGTGATGGATTTTAATTCCATTTTTGTTTATAAATAAATGTTCTGTGTTTTTAGACAGAGCTAAAGTTTGTTCTCAGAGGATTTAGCTTTGCTATGATACCTACCTGGTGCCTTGGTGAACTAGAAAGGAACTGGAAATAGAAGCATTGAAAACCAGGCAAGAAAAAAGTTTCATCTGGGAGGTGGAAAAATGCTTTTAAAAGATCAAGGCCAAGACTGTTCTAAATTCTTTAAACTAGCTCTTTTTGGATTTTCATTCTCTAAGGAGTCCTAAAGGTTGTAGAAAGGAATAGATTTTCAGAACTACTTTTATTTGCAGAAATACTGAGTTTCAAGCAATACACCAAGAAATTTTGTGCTCTCCAGCCTCTCAGCTAGTGAGGGACTATCATTTTAGCCAGATGTTCAAAGGAAATGAGTTAACATTTTCTATCAAAATGTTAGCTTCCTCTATAGAAAATGTCACTTGTCAAAAACATCTTTTCTCTTTTTGCACAATCTAATAGGAAACACCTTGTTCAACTGCATTCATATTTCTGTTTCTCTGTGCTGGCTGTTGTACAGATAAACTGTTGTCTACAGATAGAAGCAAGACAGTGGTGATAGGACATCCTGATTTTTAGTTATTGCTGTTAAAACTAATTCCTTGTTGGCTTTGGGCAACTTACTTCAGCCTTTTGTTTAATGCATTTCAGCATTTGTTTAATTTAATCTATGAGCTGGCGAGGACAGCAGTATTTATTATTTCATATGGTAGTAAGAGTAAGAAGTGAACCTTTCAAGTTTAACATCATGTTTGGGATTTATTTTTAATGCTTTAGAACAGTTATCATTAAATCAATATAACTAAAGTGTGGGTGTCTGTAAAAATATCTTCTAGTTCTGATTCTTTCTGATCTGATTGAAGTTCTGTCCTCCTCTTAACCTTTCATTTGGTGTTTAACTATCTTTGAGAGAAAATGGCTTGGTTAAAGGAGCATCCTCCTAACAAACAGATGCATTCGCCGGATACGTATCTTCTCTAGAGTTCCCTTCTTTGTCTTTCTGGTGTTCAAGGAAAACCAATTATATGGCTGCCAAAGGAAAATACAACTTGCATCTCTAATATACAATTCATTATTCTAGACTAGGATAGAATATTTCCTTTGTAAGGGACCTACAGTGATCACCAGTCCAACTGCCTGAGCAATTCAGGGCTGACCAAAAGTTAAAGGCTGTTGTAAAGGACATTGTCCAAATGCCTCTTAAACAGACTTGGGACATTGACTTCCTCTTTAGGAAGCCTGTTCCAGCGTTTGACCACACTCTCAGTAAAGAAATGCTTCCTAATGTCCAGTCTAAACCTGCTCTCATGCACCTTATATGTTATAGGATAGACAATATTTTTTGTTAGACTGGTATGTCTGGAAACGGTTAGCAAGTTCTTCAGGTTGGAAGCAGAGGTGAAGTTGTCCTGGGTGGTGCTGACTTTTGCTTTTGTGTTGTCCAGCTGGTGATGGCTTTTTGCCCTCTACATGCTTCCCTGGAACTCCCCACTGTCTGTGTATTCTAGACTGTACTTTGTATAATTGTCTGTGGGGTTGTCTCTTGTAGACGGAGATAAGAAGCTGAATAGCCCCCCCTGTAATCCAGGAGGAAACAGCAGCCTGCTGAGCCACTTGGATCCTCACAAGTCTATGGGACCAGATGGGATCCATCCCAGGGTGATGAGGGAGCTGGCGGAAGAGCTTGCCAAGCTGCTCTCCATCATCTGCCAACAGTTCTGGCTCACTGGGGAGGTCCCAGATGATTGGAAGTTGGAGAATGTCACACCAATCCACAAAAAGGGCCAGAAGGAGGACCTGGGAAACTCCAGGCCTGTCAGCCTGGCCTCAGTGCCTGGCAACATTATGGAGCAGATAAGTCTAAGAGCAGTCACACAGCACCTACAGGACAGACAAGGGATCAGACCCTGCCAGCACACGTTTAGGAAGGGCAGGTCCTGTGTGACCAACCTTTCCTTTTATGACCAGGTGACCCGCCTGGCAGATGAGGGGAGGGCTGTGGATGTAGTCTACCTGGTTTCAGCAAAGCCTTTGACACTGTCTCCCATAGCATTCCCCTGAAAAAGCTGGCAGCCCATGGCTTGGACAGGGGCCCTCTGTGCTGGGTCAGGAACTGGCTGGAGGGCCAGGCCCAGAGAGTGGTGGTGAACGGGGCTGCATCCAGTTGGCGACCGGTCACTAGTGGTGTCTCCCAGGGATCAGTGTTGGGCCCAGTTCTGTTTAATATCTTTATTGATGATTTAGATGAGGGGATTTAGTCCACCATCAGCAAATTTGCAGATGACACCAAGCTGAGGGGGAGTGTCAATCAGCTGGAAGGCAGGAGGGCTCTGCAGAGGGACCTGGACAGGCTGGAGAGTTGGGCTGATTCCAGCAGGATGAGGTTCAACAAGGTCAAGTGCCTGGTCCTGCACTTTGGTCACAACAACCCCCTGCAGCACTACAGGCTGGGGACAGAGTGGCTGGAGAGCAGCCAGGCGGAGAGAGACTTGGGGGTTCTAATCAACAGGAAGCTGAACATGAGCCAACAGTGTGCCCAGGTGGCCAAGAAGGCCAGTGACATCTGGGGTGTATCAGGAACAGTGTGGCCAACAGGTCCAGGGAAGTGATTCTTCCCCTAGACTTAGCGCTGGTGAGGCCACACCTTGAGTGTCCAGTTCTGGGCCCCTCAGTTCAGGAAGGATATTGAGGTGCTGGAGCAGGTCCAGAGAAGAGCAACAAGGCTGGTGAAGGGACTCAAGCACAAGTCCTGTGAGGAGAGGCTGAGGGAGCTGGGGTTGTTCAGCCTGGAGAAGAGGAGGCTCAGGGGAGACCTCATCACTCTCTACAACTCCCTGAAAGGAGGTTGTAGCCAGGTGGGGGTTGATCTCTTCTCCCAGGCAACCAGCAGTAAGACAAGAGGGCATGGTCTTAAGCTGTGCCAAGGGAGATTTAGGTTAGATATTAGGAAGAAATTCTTTGCAGAGAGGGTAATCAGGCATTGGAATGGGCTGCCCAGGGAAGTGGCGGATTCTCTGTCCCTGGAGGTTTTTAAGATGAGACTGGATGTGGCATTTAGTGCCATGGTCTAGTAACCACCGTGGTGTTGGATCAAGGGTTGTACTTGATGATCTCAGAGGTCCTTTCCAACCCGACTGATTCTATGATTCTATGATTCTATGATGTTATTGGAGACAGTGTCAAAAGCCCTACCAAAGTCAAGGTAAACAGCATCCATTATTCTCCCCTCCTCTGTTGAGCAAGCCACTTTTCTGTAGAAGCCTATCAAGTTGGTTAAGCGTCACTCACCCATCATAAATCCATGCTGACTACTCTTGATGTCCTTTGTGTGTTTGAAAATGGTTTCTGGGATAACTTGCTGTGTCACCTTCAAAGGACTGAGGTGAAGTAGAGCAGCGTGTAGCTCTCTGAATCCTCCTTCTTGTCCCTCTCTAAGATAGGAGTGATGTTTCTTTTTTTTTTTTCCTCCCAGTCCTTTTAGCAACTATTAAGATGGTAGATAAATAATTTGGGGAAAATGGTTTTAGTAATCTTTATCAGAGACATGTTTCTATGTATGAAGGAAAATCTACTTATTCTTTAGGACTTTTTTTTTCAATTTTTCTACAGTTTAAATTCTTCTAGCAAGTAAAATGAAACATTATCTTGCGTATTTAGCAAGTGTGTATTTCGTTTGCTTCAGTTGTGTATACCAGGTCATAAGAGTTAGGAAAGACTGGTGAAGACAGGTATCCTGAAATGTTTTTTCATGTAAAGGAAAGCATAGGAAGCTGCTGTAGGAGGCTTATCTAAGCTCTTCTATAATACAGAAGCGCTTGCTGATTGCTGGCTTCACTATTTAAAACAAGTGAGATAAATCTAGTGAGATGTACATAATGGAGCTGTGTTTCATGTATGTAATTGCTGAGTTGAAGCAGCGGTATTGCCGTGCTTCTAAAGGCTAAAGATAGGAACTGATACAATAACAGTCCTATACAAGTAACATGTAGCTCTTCTGCTAAGTTACCCTTTTTTGTTCATGAATGTGTTTAGTTGCAGCATTGATTATAGTTGCATGTTCACAAAAAGGGAAAATTGACTCCTGCTGAGAGTAGGTGGGGGATTAGGTTTTTTATTATCAAACCATCTGCTTCTGTGTATACTGAAGACATGTTGAATGTTTTCTTGAAAATAGTGTGACAATTTGAGTCAATAAACAGGTTCTACTTGCATTTAATTCTTGAAACAGAGTTAATCTGTCTTCAAGTTTGATCCGATAACCATCACTGGCAGAATTAAATGTTGTTCTACTTTTATTCCTCCCTAGTTTATTTTTATTTCAGGTAACCTGTGATCTTATGTGACAAGAATGCTTTTGGTTTAGCCATGGATTTAAAATGGGGGGGGAAGGGGCAATAGGGTGGATTCTGTTTATCTTTTTGTTTTTCTCATTACCTCAGCTGTAACACTGTGAGCATTGCTGTAAATATCAGCTGTACTATTGAATAGGTAACTGGAACCAATTATAATTGGGTAAAAATATGACTTTATAGGGGTTTTTTGTATGCAATACAAAAATATTTATATCCTTCGCTTTAAGATTTTAAACGACTCAGTGCATTACTGTATGAAAGAAATTCCTCACACTTTTAAACTGAATCACTTGTGATTCTTTATTGGTTGTCATTGGCTGAAGTTGTTTGGCTATTATATATATTATAAATGCTTCTTGTGGTTCTATATTTTAGGTTTAAAAATATCTGGAGAGAGATTAAGGGGTTCAACAAGTAACGCTCTAATGGATGACAGCGAATTTCCACCAAATGATCTGCAAATAGACTCAAAGGACAGTCTTACTGCTAACTGTAGGGTAGAAAGTTTGGCATCTCATTTGTTTCCTTCAGCTGACGAAAATGAAAATCAACTTGACAGTGATGGAAATGAAGTTCTGACCAGTAGCAGCATTGCTATGGGACGACAGGATAAAGGTGAACAGGATAACATCAATAATAATGAGAATATGGACAGTGGAGACTGTACCCCAAGCTGTACAGAAAGTGAGACTGAGAGGAGATCTGTAAATGTCCATATGGACCCTCAGCTGGAGGAAAAGCCTATTACAGAAAAACAGCCAGGTGGAAAAAGAAGTCCAAGAAGCAAAAGAAGCTCCAGTAAAAAGTCTAAAGGTACTTTATTTAAAAAGTTCTTGTTTTGTTTACTTAAAAAATAACACTGCAGTTTAAATCTGTGAGCTAATAAGAAAATTATATTTTAGTTGTCATACTACTTTTTTTTAGCATTTCACTAAAGGTTTGGGTTTACTTTTTTTCCCAGAAGTGCTAATAGTTTTTTAGTCAGCTTCAGATGTAGATGTTTTCACCTTCTGTATTTAAACAGTGGCTATGTAGAAAGTTTAACACATCAAGTAAACAGGAGTAGAGGGAGGTACACGGTTTCAATATGGAAATAGGGCTGACTTCCAAATCCAAATAGACAGAAATTCAAGTAATATGGTTTTATTCATTTGAACATTGTGATCAAGTGCAAGATTTCTGTGTCTTGATCCAGTGTCAAGATTTGAAATTTCGTTACGAGTACCAAATAGTTTGATCTTGGCCTGCTGTTGTCAAAATTTACTTACATTTTTCAAAGCTTAACAGATAGTCCTAGGATGTGTGTTTTGGGTAATACTGTTAAAAAATGTGTTCCTACCAATTTTTGATGTTACTTTTTCGTTAGAGATTTTGGATATGAATTGGATAAGGAAACTGTGATGTTTATTATATGTCTTTAGGTGAGATTCTTCTTCCCTTTTTGAAGGAGTAGGATTTCTTGTAACAGAATGTTTTATTATATTAGGTTTTTGCCATCCATCCTAAAGCTTATATGTCATAGTGCTGTAAATACGTTGATTAAAATCAGCATGTTTCATGCATAGGTTTCTTTGAAAGCTACTTGGAAAAACTGATTCGTGCCTGCTTTTTTTCCCCCCATGTATTTTAAAATAGATTACAATTTTCCTTATAAATGGCAAGTCTTTTGTAACCTAATCTGAAAACTGATTATGATTTTAACAGATGATAAAATAGGTAAAGATGGGAAAAGAAGGAAGCCTTGCATTCCATATCTTGTACATATAGACAAAATCTAGAAAAGAAAAATTATATTTTCTTGTGGAGATAAGAGCATTTTGAAATCTGTCATAACAGGGAGAATAATTTCTCAATACCTTTCTGCACCATTTAATAAGTATTTACTTAATCTGTAGAATTAAGGTTTAATAATAGCATAAAATATTTAAAATGAGATTAGCAGAAGTAATTGAGAATCAATCATCTGTATGATGGGAATAACAAAAACCAAGTTGATGAAAAGTTATACATGCGTGTGGACAGAGGTATCTGATTCACAGTGAGAGGAAGAAAAGGAAAAAACCTCACCTAAACACTGAAAGTTGAACTTTGCTTGTAATCTCTCTCTCCGTTAGTTTGTATTCTTGTTGATAAATACAATGAACTGATGCAGAAATACCACAAAATGAGCTGTCCACAGTAGAATGAAGTTTTAAGACAAAAAACAGATTTCTGAAATAATAGAAAATTCCATGGAAAAATCCAGCAATGTAAAATACCCCACAAGAGAACATCCTACCTGCAAAATTATTTAGAGTTTTGTTGAATTGTTATGAATAAACTCTTACTACTTTATTAATAAAGGACCTTGATTGTTGTAGAGGAAGATCAAAATATAAAATTACTTTGTATCTCCCATTGTTTATGGTCTAATATCCATTTAGCTTTTTAGATACTCTCCTGTGATGGTTCTTCTGTTTTCACACAATGCAGTGACTGTGTCATGATTTCTTAATGTTGCAAATGTCTTTATTTTAGTGACAGTCTTCCATTTCATTTCCAATACCAGCTTTTTTAAAGGATTCCTGAGTATCCCTCTATGTAAAAGAACCAAACTAGCTTTGGTTCTAGTACTAGTTTTGGTACTAGTTGGTACGTGTCTTTGTACTAACTCAGACTTAAAGGAGAGAATAATCAAACTAGAGGGGAAGATTCCCGAGTGAGTGACAGCAGAGCACCAGACATGCAAGCTGGAATCTCAAACTAAGTTATTGCATTGCATGTATTATGGTTCAGTATTTCCTCTGACAGTGGCCAATAGGGGATGTGTAGGTGAGAGTATAAGGACAAGGCAGAGATGTAGTGATTTGTTTGCATGTTCTGCTTGACATCTGCAATCTACAATTATTCATTCAGGACTTTACCAAGTGGGAATTGATAGACTGTAATACCTTAGAGTGAATTTGTCACCTGACTTACAGTTGGTTTCTTGCATCCATTTTGGTGTCCTAGAGTAAGTAGTTCAAAGATTTACCTTTATTTATAGTTTGAAGAAGCACCTCCTTTTAGCTCTCTTGATTCTGCAATAGAATTATTAGAGTAAATTGACAAGTCTGTAGCTTCTACGTCCCATTTTTTCTCACATTCTTTTGTATCCTAATTATAGTTTTGAATATATACTATGATTATCTATGTTTAAGGAGGACTGGTGATCAAAGAACTGATGTAAATTTAAATTGACTAATTTAAATTTGGTGATTATTCATACTGTGATTCCTTGTAATGAACCGTACTAACTTAAGTGCGGTAGAGATAGTGATTCATGAAGTGTCATCTGCTTCAATGTATTTTTGTAAATGTGGACTTGAAATTATCCCTGTTCTCTGAAAATAAGGTCATCTTTTTTAAAAACATCGACCCTGGCTTAACTAGTAACTTAATATTGTAAAACCAGTGTGTAATTCCTTAACGTACTATAGCATGGTAACTTGCACTGAGTCTTTTTTCCCCAAGTTAAATTCCGCAACATACACTTTTCCTATAAATTATTCAATTTATTTCTTGAAGCAGCTTGAAGGTGGAGGAAGGAAGGAAGTGGTATGGTTGGGATGGATTTGGTGTTGAAGCAAATTAAATATATGAATATAAGTTAGTCAAATTATATGAAAATTCAAGCAATGATATTTTGTTCAGGGTTCTGTGCCACACTAAACAAAATTTGGGGTTTGCTCAATTAAAGCTATATCTTTAACACCAACACTTTTGTCTTAAAATCTCTTTTCTTAAAAATGAATGGGTTTTAAATACTTGTTGGTGGGGTTTTTTTTAAAATAGTTCTTGAATGAATCAGTCTGAACCAGCTTTCTGATACTGAGTACCAAAGAATGTTTAAAAAAAGAGATTGCCAAATGTTTTCTGTACTAGAAACTTCTGTTACTGGTGACTTGAGTTAATGCTTCTGAATGTGAAAATTAAAATTCAATTGAAAAACAGAGGACAATATCCATAATTGTATTTTGACAGGAAATGCCTCGTACTTGTACCTCTGATTGTCAGGCAGGTGGCAAGCACACCTTATTCATATACTTGCAGTACTGATAAATAAAAAAAATCTGAGGCATATTGCAGTATGTGTTTGTCATTTTTATTCACAAAATTTGACCTTTTTGCAAACGTGGGGCTGCTTCTGTGAATTCTTGGGGAAATTGTAAGAAAACTTGCTTCTCCCGATGTCTTAGGAAACATTGGCACACTCAACTGGGCATAGAAGTTGTCAGTTGAAACATCTGTGAGCCTGGCAGAGCAAAACTTGAACCCAGCTCTCTGTCTCATGCCTAGTGAATGCTCTGGCCACTGGTACCTTCTGTGTATTTTCACATGTATTTTCATAAAAGTTTTGCTTCCCTTCTACTATGGAGTAAATATCAATGCTTTATAAAGTGAGAAAGTTAATCCTTCCTTATTAAAAAATCAGAAATATATGTAAGATACCAGTTTTTAGTAAAAAAAAAAAAAAAATTAATCTACTTTAGTTTGCATGATTCCAGAAAAAAGTAGCATTGTTTTCAAGAAGAGGGAGAAAAAATAAATAGGGATCTTAGCCCATCACACCTTTATGGTGAAATAGCATTATTAAGTGTTACAATAAAAGTTCTTTGTTATAGTGCTACTAAGGCACAAATGTTGTCTTGTATTAAAATCATACGAGGTAGAATTAACTTGAATGACTGTAAGGTCTTGTTTTCAGAATCACAAAGTAATTCGAGGGCAAAATTTGATTCCAAGTGAGTGACAGCTCAACTATAGATACAGTTTATAAACTATGTGTTAGCAACAGTATCGTGATAACATTATAATTAAGGTTTTTCTTTACCGTTGCTATTGAGCATGTTTCAGTCAATGTTCATGTTTTGATATGACAGGTGATTATTAAGTGCTTAATGAAGTGCAGTTTGAAGTGACATTTGGTTTCTTTATTTGTTTTTCTGAGATGTTTTGAGTTTCCCAGAACATGTGGACTGTTTTTTTTGGTTTCATGATCATGTGTTGAACAGGAGGCTATATTTTTAAAGACAGCCCTAATTCCATCTCCAGAAGTATTTCCTGGCTTGTATCTTGCATCTACTTTTGTCTCTTTTGCTTCTGGCCCACAGGAAGCCCAAATAAATACCGGAAAATCAGAGATGTGCATTAATATTGAAAAAGCAACATTAAGTTACACCCATATTTTTTCTGGCAGGAAGCCCTGTGAAAATAGCCACACACAGAGATTATAAGTACTCCTGGCCTGGGTAGTTTACTTAGTAAAGAGTTTAAAATAACCAAAAGTAAAACAGTGGAGCCTTCAGTGGACAAGCTAATGCCTTTCTACTGCCCTAAATCTTAAACCTGAATCATCACTATAGGGTCTCAGTTGCAATAAACACAGGGGGGTCTGAAACCCAGTACCCAAGCTGTAGACACAAAGTGTGGTGGTTACTTGAAACAGTGCCCCCACCTGTCCTGCTTTTAAATGATAACATGATTTTCAGAAAAAGGATATAGCTGGGGAACAATAACATACTCATCATAACTTGAGTTTATAAAAGCTTATTGTGCACATTTCTGTGGCCAACTTCTCTAAATTGTTTTTAAAAATTATGGGATTTTTTTAAAAGTGCAGTTCCATGTAAGTGTATCAAATTCAATATTGTTTACTGGGGAAAAAAAGTGTTCTTTCATTGGTGGAATCAGCTATAGTTTTCTGGTTGCTCATAGACTGGGTGTTATAGGAACCTTATAGGTGTTCCCTGATCTTCGTGAGAAACTGATCCAGTCAGTATGTGGGTAGGATTTCTCCCACTACTACTGTCACTACTAATACTCTACACTTCTTCCTTAATCTCATTTAACATTTTCTCATAACTATCTTATTAATGATCAGAACTACACTACAAATATTACATTTCTAACAATAAAATATGGGATTTGCACCCAGGAAATTTTTCCTGCAATATTTTTATACTGTTTTGCTTTAAATTATCCTTCATATATCCTCCACTTGCTTGTTTGACTTTTTTGACTTCTATAAAATTGAAGACAGGCAAGAGTGAACTGCCAGGGAATGTACCACTGAGAGCCGAGTTTTCTGTCTAGCAAGAAGGTCTGGAATCTAAATTCAGTTTAGATGTCATTGTTACCAACATAGATGAGCACTACTGGCTCCTTCCCTGGACTCTCAAACAAACTGTCCAGCTGTCTAGGGGGGGTCTTCCTTTTCACTCAGCTGGACAGTCCCCCTGGACATCTCTTCCCCCCCACTAGAATCCCCCACTATCATCATTTGCTTCTTTCTATCCTTTAAGATCTTGTCACTGTGTTATCATCAGAACAGGAACTGGTCGAATTTTCCTTTCTTCCATGCATCTGTCCATCCTCAGGACACCTCCTTATACAAGGTCCTTGGTACGAGTAAAGAGACAAACTGAGAACCTCATTCACACTGTCTTCACCTATCTGCCTTTTGCCCTTTTTGAGCAAAACTCTGTTGTAAACAACTCTACTTTCTGTCTCTGCTGTACTACAATTGAGTCTTAATGTAGAAATTTGACCACTTGGATCTGAGTATTGATTTTTTAGCTAAAAGTGCAACGCCAGTCACAACACAATATCTTTTTACATCATCCTGGTCTCTTATTAATAACTCTGTGGAACACTTTTAGTCTAAGTGTTTTGGTTTGGCTTTTTTCTCCCTTAAGTTAAAGCAGGGTCCCAGTTAGAAGTGTACAAAAATATCTGATGTCTGTTACTGTATTCGTTCAGGTAGGTGAGCTGGCAGTGAGACAGACCTGTCACAATTAATTTTGACAAGGACAGTATTTTGTTTACTTGCAGGGATGTTATTTAAGATGCTAGGTTTTTATTATTGGCTTTTATATTGAAATTTCCCCCAAAAAAAAAACCCTAACTTGTTGTATTTTTTTGAATCCTAACCCAAGTACTTGTCCTTTTTAAAGGAGTTTCTACAGCAGGAACTGCAGCAATCAAGGAGGAAAATACTCCTATTACAGATACAGATTCTGTGCAGGCTGAAGGGGCTGTTGAAGCAACGGAAAACTTTCACCCAAAGGAACAAAACCAAATGTTGCAGTCTCTTTTCTCTTTGCTCCGTGAAGAGGTTGAGCAGATGGATTCAAAGATACTGCCCCTGTGTCTACATCAGGTACTTCCTGTGATTATGGGTTGCTGCACCAAATTTTGGTTTTATTTGAGACTTTATTCGTAAGGAAAAAAGGCAATAAATGCAACAAATACCATGGACTGGATATTTTGATGTATAACAGATGGTCAAGGCAAATATCTCCTCTAAGGTCTTGTAATATTTGTTAAATTATAAATTGCCTTGTAAGTATATTCTCGGGTTAAAGGAAACTCTTAAGGATGGGTTTTCTAATTCCCTAAATGATGAAATTCTAGTTTGGCAGGAATTTAGGAAAATCACTCTTCAGTATAAATTAAATATGATTTGTAAGATGCTGGTATAGGTACAAGAGAGCAAATATGTAAATAACATTTTAAACCTGGAGTTGTTTTTACTGTTGCAGACTTCTTTCATGCATGAATGCTAGGATTCCAAGTGTATAACTTTATATAAGCACAGTTGCCAAACCTGCAAGATCAAAGGAAAAACAGTGTGGTTTCAAAAACAATCTTTTTATTAACTGGCCAGTGTGTAGGGTTTTTTTCTGGAGGTTATGATGCAGAAGAATTATGTGGATAGGACTTAATGCAGTATTAATTTATAGCACAGCTGTGTCAGACTAAGAATGGACTGGAAGAGTTTTCGTTTGGCTGTGATGTCTAATATGGGCAATATGTAGATATTACACATGCCTGATTTGACTTAGTTGGATTATCTTTATTTTGGAAAATTGGATGATTTTGATATTTTAAATTTCTAAACTGCAGTGACAGTCCTGCATTCTTATTCTCTTTGATACAAATAAGTGATTATATTTGAGAAAGAGGTTTCTCTTCAGTTGTTGCATGTTATAGATAATTTACATTTGACATAGAATTTTAAATTATTTTTTTCTAATCTGTGCTTCAGCAAAGGTATTTGATACTGTTCCTTAACTTATGTGAAACTTGGCTTTCGGGTTAACAATTTGTACTTTTAGACACGTTGAATTTGGGGATCATTCATGAGTTAGTACAAAGGGCATTTTTGGAAAACAACACAGGGCAAAAACTTCAAAACACTTTACAGACACCGCGGAGTGTCATCGAATGCGATGGAGGTGAAATCTTGTTTGTTGGTTTTAGATGACTAAGCCACACCCTAAGGGTAACAACATTTTGAAAGTCATACAGGAACTGTGACAGAATCTGCATTTCCAGATTCAAACATATACTCAAGCACCATCTTTTTTTTTCCTAAGAAATACCAAGCATTTTGAATGGACTGTTTGAAAGAAAGCTAGCAGAACTTATAAGGATCATAACATGTTTTTTTAATTGTGGGGAGGGCAGAGGGGGAAAGGATTTTAAATTTAGCATTCACGTAAAGTGAATCTATTAAGAATTTTTTTTCCTTTTCTAGTGAATTAACCTGTCATCTTCAGTCTTTTTTTTTTTTTTAGATTGTTAATACAACCTGCCAGTAACTTTTTTTATGCCAAGTCTAGCAAATACTCTATCACATTCTGGTTTTATTCTATGATAAAATTCAATGTAAAATCAAGAGCTGTGTTGGATGTTCTGGAGTATTAACAATCTGTGGTGTTAGTGGGAAGCCTGTATTGAGTATTTAAAGGCTGCGGGATATTAGGGACTGTTCTAAGGTTTAACTTTTAATTAAAATAGGATGTGATTTTTTTTTTTCCTGTCTTGAATGAGATTAATTTGATTCGTTTAGCATTTGTTACAGAATCTGATTTATATATAAAACATAGAAAAAGAGCTTTGACGGTTCCAGAAATCCTTAGAAGACTACTGTGGAATGCAGACAAAATGTACAAATAAAGAATCTTAGAAATCACTTACCAATTCTCGTTTGAAGGTACCAGGCTCAGAATGGTCTAGTGGTTAGTAATAAGGCTGAGAGGCAGGAAAATACAATTTGTAACCTAGATTCCTCTATCAAGTTACTGTATTTTTTGAGCAATCACCTTTAGACTTTTACAAAAGTGCCTACTTGTTAAGCTCTTCATATTATGATTATCTAAATTGACATCCCAAAAATTTTGAGACTGAATTTTTGTGTGCTCCCATGGAAGTCATTGGAGTATCATCTATGAGGTGCCTCAGCCAGAACATTCTGGTCTCAGGGTGCCTGCAATTTCTGGACACATTTTGCTAGCATGGCCCTTGCCTCACCATGCATGGCAAACATGAAGATTGCCAACATTCACTGTCCCGGAAGACTGATTAGTTGCTTATAAAGATCACCGATAGTGTAGAGTTATGTAGAATAAAATATTTTTACCTCTGAAGTTTATATTTTTTGTATTTCATTGCATGCACAAACAAAGCTGTCAGTATTCCTCAGCTTCCTGTGAAAGCCTGCACAGTTTTCTAGCAAGCACAAATAAGTTGTTGTTGCAATTCTCAAAAATTATTTGTCTAGAGGGAGGAATTGGAAGAAAAAAGTTTCAGTTACTACGTTAGCTTTTCCATACAGTGTTACATCTTTTTCTTTCCAGGAATCAGTTCTAACTTTTCTATGATACTCCCCACCAGTGTCAAAGTGAAATTCTGATTAAAAATATATTAATTTTCTGACTGCTTGTGGATGCTTGCTTTCTCTGAGCTGGTTGCATGAACTTAGTGACATGAGGTAGAGGATCTTCAAGTTTTTTTTTCACACAGTAGAGCAGCTTCAGGAAAGGAAGTGGCACAAGGCTGCTGCAGTGGTATTACCTGGCTCCTGTGGCTAGGCTAGGAGTAATACAGAAAAAAGTTCAGAACTTGAGTGCTTTTATATTTATCTCATTAATTTCAAATATTCCTATTTTACACAGAATTTGAAATATTTGTTGTAATTATCTATTGTAAAAAGGATATAAACGGGAAACTCATTGTTATGTTTCTGATGCGGTGATAGGCAATATTTTTAGTGTCTTTTATCCAAAGATGTTCTTTTCTCATCGATCAGGAAACCTCCATTTTTCCATTTTAATGCATTTCAATGTAATGCTCAGGAGAGCACAGCAATGATCTTAATTTGGTCAAAGATAAGGAAGTGACAGAATATAAACTCTTGAACTCGTATCACTAAACACAGTACTTTTGTGCTATGTCATTTTAAAGCTTTTTAATATGATAACTAAAAACGTTTCTGAAATAATTTTTCTTGTTGTAGCAACATAAAACTCACTAACATTGGAGCAAACCCATTTATGTGAGAGGACTTAATATTTCGTTGTTTTTTGATACTCTTTTAAAACATTTTTCCTAGAATAAGAATACATGTATTTTGTCTGAGCATTCAAATGTTACCTAAACTAAATATGAACCTGCACACCAGATATTTAAAACTATGATAAAAAAATTCACATAAGATCCTTAGCACTCTCATGAAAATTATAGATTCCTAATTTATTTTTTTTATCTTTGCAGATAGCCGAGACTTATTTTCAAGAGGAGGAATGTATCCTTTTACTTGTAGAAATTGTTATACAATACTAAAATTATGTGGCATGATAACGCATAAAAGACAAATGCTTTACTGTTGACTCACATGTTTGGTAAAAGTTTTAATAGTTAAACCTCTGATAATTACTCTGATATATTTCAGTAATTTTGGGAGAGAATAATCATATTAACCATTAAAGTTAAATTACAGTTTTATAAAAAGTGGACTGGGATTTCCTCTTTGCTTTTAAGGGAAAATGATCAGGCTATAAAAAGAAGCAGCAAGAGTGGTAAGCCCTTAAGGTATATGTGATTCATTAAGATCCATCATAAATTACAGAATTTGTGCATACAGATTATTTCTTTATTATGCAATTTGTTGCATACACAATATGACAAATAGGCAATTGTAATGGCTAAATAACAAGGCAAATTATCTTAGCCTGTAGTACAAAACCAGAGAACTAACTGTTGCAGTATTATAAGAGCAATATTTAAATACAGTATCCATCACTGTCTTAGAAGACTACACTTTTGTCTTGGTCATCCTAATTCTAAAGCATCCATCAGAAAATCCAAAATGCACTGCTCGAGATAAAGGCATGGAAAAATTCTGTTGTAAATTATGGCAATGCAGGGGCAAATACAGTAAATTTAAAATTTAAAAAGCATGATAGAAAGACAGTTCCTCTTTCATCAAAGTTGCTTTAATTGAAGGACACTGTATTTAAAGCTGATAAAAAAAGTATTTTTTAATGCAATGTACACTTGATGTGTGGAATTCAACACCACTATATAATACATATTTATGAAGGATATCTCCTCTGTACTTGCAGCCATCAGTTTCCTGAGGTTAATAAAGAACTCACTTGATCATGTTGCACTGTATTAATTATCCATGACAGACATTTTAATTCATCCAGCATGGAACTTCATATTAACAATAATTCAGGGTTTGTTGCTGTGATCCTCTAAGGCTATCTCTCTGATCTGTAATTCTGTTTCTAATAACAGATTTCTTGAAGGCAGGGAATATTCTTTCCATTAATATTGTTGTTCATAAGCCATGCTATTTATATGTTGCATGAGGCTAACAAGAATAACAAGTACTGGTTGTGTTTTTGTAATAATTACTCCACTATTTTAATTAGCATGAATAATGGAAAGTAGTTTTTTTGTGTGACTAAGAACATCATTCACTGTACCTCTATCCTCATTGTATTGTAGAATTTCGTTTGGAATAGCTGGTAAAACAGCTTTAAAGAGCACAACTAACAACTTAGGCTTGGCGGAGCTAGAATTATCCTGAGTATTATAAAATATGTGACTATCAGTATACCTTTGTGAATATATTGATAACCCAAAGGGAGGGGAAAGACTTCTTCATATAGAAGAAAAGTAAGCAGAATCTTCAGGAAGACTAAAGGTAAACTCAGCAGTGCAACAGTGTTGTATCCAATGGTTGAAAAGGGGGCGGCTATTTTTCGGAAATTTAAGCTGGAGAAATTTTTTTTAATATTGTCTCCAGCTGGTCAGTAGAGAGGAGCTATATTTTCAGCTAGACATGGTTATTGGCATATAATTGTATTTCTTGAGATATACTTGCTGGTATTTGTGTAATTGTTTTGCTTTTCATTTCCCAGAGATTTCATTTTTTTTTGTAAGCGTTATCAGCATAATAACATTTAATTTGTTTCTAGAAAAATCATTTGTTGGTCTTAGGGCATGTGGGAAGAGGTAGCTGCTGAAAAGAATAGGATTTTCATTTTTGGAACTTTTCTCAACTTATTTTACTTCTTACCTGCTGTTTTCATGTCTGCTGCTTTTTTCTTTCTTGCACAGATATCTAGATGCTAGCCATTATTCATTTTGATTCACTTATTTCAAATATCGAGTGCATAATGACCTCCCTTTCAAATATGATGCTAAATTTAAATAAACCATAACACATCCACAGATGTGTCCATTTTTCTTTAACCTTCCATTCAGATGAGAAGGCAATGAAGTTCATTCAGCTTGAACGACTGTATCATGAGCGGCTGCTTGCAAATCTTTCTTCCATACAGGAGCAGTGGGGTGAGTACCAGCTAAACTAATATGGTAGAAGAAAGAGTTAATTTAGTTTGTACTTCTGAACAAGAGAGTATACATATTGCCAGATTAAAAAAGTTACATAGCAAAAGCAGTATTTCTATCAGAATTTCTTTGAGGTTGTTACAAGAAAAATATTCCTGTTTTGGATTTGTTTGCACATATTTTATGGTAAAGGTGCAATTAGTTTGTAATTCTTTATTTTATTAATTAAAACTTTGATCCACAGTTGTTTTGAGCTTATTTTTGGGTTAGGGTTGGTGAGTCTGATATGATGAAAATAAAGTGTGTTGTGAAAGAATAGGATGCCATTTTGCGTATTCTGTTACAAGATTGTAGAGCATACACAGAAAAGTTGTCAATATTTCTCAATTAATTAGTTTCCACTATATGTTTTATGTTAAGCAAATACTACTTTTATAATATTTTGAGTAACAATTATTTTGATTTCATTTAGAAAGAAAATGGAAAACAGCAGTTCCTAGTCCCGTTACAACACTGAGGAATTCAGCGAAAGAACTGAGCGGCCAAGAGCTGGAAAAGCTTACTAGAGTTTGCTCTTTGCATCTACAGTAAGTATTAGAACATATTATTACTTTCCAAGTACTAGTGTTAGTGCAGCTGTTGTCTCCTTGCTGGTATAGGTGTTTTAAAATAGTCAGTGTCAAAATAAAAGTTGTGTTGCACTGACTTGAATTTAGTTATAAAGTCATGGTTCTTTTTGATATGTAACTAAAATATTTTTGTTACCATCAATTGTTTTAATATGGCTTGAGGAATCTATGGGGACTAGATTTTAAATGTTTTCAGCAAATCACTAGTTTTCCAGAAATGGAGTTTTGAGTTTTAGTAGTTCAGCCAAGGTAAAAAAATCTGAATAGTGTTAATTTAGGAAGAGAGGCTGTAGAACTGATGATGGGTGTTCGTGATGATGGATGTTCTTGTCTAATACCTACTGTTCTAATCACTGTTTTAAAGTGCAATTGCCTAGCATCTCTGCCTTCAGTACCCTTATTAACCCAGTGCTTTTCCCTCGATTTTATTCTCAATTTTCCCACATTTTAGGACAATTCCTTAATGCTATAAGTACTTCTTGTTATCTTCTATGTTAATTTCATATAGGTTGCATTAACATTATGAAGCAGCAATTCTGTACAGTATTCTGAAAAGTTGTGAAATCTTAGTTCATACCTGCTTTGCCTGATGCATCAGCCTCCTGAATTAGCACATCACAGTATAACAAACTTGTGGCAGTGCCTAGGGTGCATTTCTGGATAGTAACATGGGATTATACCTGTCAGGAAGGAGAAGATCTATTATGTCATGGGTGAATGCCCTACCACCTAGACATTGATTTTAAGGGACAAATGGAAAAAATTATGCGAGCTGCCACTGAAAAATGATCAGCCAATGACCATAAGGAAACTAACCACATTCAAAGACTGTGAAAAGACCTGCCAGTGACAAGAGAGATGCTCTCAATCAGATGGGGAGAGAAAACATTTTCAAGTACATTTGCACTGACTTAGTCAATCTGGATATAACAAAAGCCAAAATGCTCCTGTTTTTCATAGAGAGTATGATTTGGCTATCACATTTTTTATTCTGGGTGATGATAGTGAAGTTTGAAAACACCCAGGCTGATTGCCAGAACTCAGGCAGGGATGTGATGTTGTTTATTTGTAGTCTGAATGCCTTTGGGCGGGAGCCCCTTGGAAGCGCACTCCTGAGCTTCCGCAGGAAGAGGAGGCAGGTCGAGCACCGTGGTTGCATGTTTACACCCACAGTGTGCTGCCACTGTGAGATTGCACTCAGAGTGCCTGCAGGCTTCCTCAGCCTACGTTTCCTTACATGTGACTTTGCAAACCCACAGAAAGATTTAAGATTCAAGTCTGTTGCTTGGAAAATATGAACATTTTGCTTTTGTAATTGAAAGTAATTTTTCTGATAGTCAGCATTTACAGCTACATACTGGACATGTTTATTCTTTAAAGATAGTTTTGAGTGTCCCTGATTTGAAGTGCAATTTGATAAAATTTAAGACTTGTGTTCATTTGCCATGATTAGTATTCTGGTTTTAATATTATTACTCTTTGAAACTCTCTAGGCAAAAACCTGATTGGTTTTGTTGTTTCATATGGGGTTTTTTTCGTAAGCTTTAAACTCAATTTATTTTTTAATTAAAATTACACTTTAATATTGAATGAATAACATGCAGGTCTTGGAAAATATGAACATTTTGCTTTTGTAATTGAAAGTAATTTTTCTGATAGTCAGCATTTACAGCTACATACTGGACATGTTTATTCTTTAAAGATAGTTTTGAGTGTCCCTTATTTGAAGTTTAAATGGTAAAATTTAAAAGTCAATGTACCTTTTAAAAGTTTTTGTTAGAGTATGAACATCAGTACTTTTCCCTTATCTCTCTCTTATTTTTTTCAGTAGATTTAAATAAAAGGCTCTGCATTTTATCTTCATTGCTGTATGAAAGACTGCAAGATAGACTGTGTGTGATAGATTACAGTGTGCATGAATCTCCACACAGTTTGCCAAGTCCACACTGACTGTTAGCAGTGCTGATCCACCTCTGAATCTGAGTGGAATCAGTGGGAGCTGCTGTACCTTACAGTACCCAGAAATTGTGTCCCAGTCTGTGAAAAGGGAAATATGTTTTGTGGGGATTTTTTTCCATTCTTCAATCTCTGCTATAGTGATCAGTATTTTTAATAGTATATTAAATATACTATTAAATATACTATCTGTATAAATAGATATCAAGTCCTGAAATGATTTTTAAAGTTGGTAGAGTTCCTTCTGAGCATAAACTTTTACAGGGATTTACATTTCCTGATAAGTTGTGGTAAATTTTTTTCTGACGCCTTCTCGATTAGGTGGAGCAATGTTTGGGCAAGTTGGTCTTCTGATGATATTCACACAAGTACAGATGTATGCTAGCATGCTAACACTGTCTCAGTGTAAGAAAAATTCTGTGCTAATTTTAGAGCAGAGTAAAAAGTTTATAAGATTTCAATTACATTTATTATTAAGAAAGTTGCTACTAGGTTAATTTATTCTTTTTTCTTTATTCCTGCAGGCCACAGTCATCCAAAAATAAGGTAAGCAGCTGTTTAATTGAATTCTGCTTTGTCAAAGATTGGTAATAAATATATTTCAAAAATTATTTGATAAAATCTTTCAAGTTTTGAAGCTGTTTAAAGTTTGAATGTCTCAAAAAGTCACAACATTCCTGTTTAATTCCAAAAATTACAGGAAATACTATCATATTTTACAGTTATTAGCTGCAGAAAATACATGGGAAAGCAGTTGTTTGCCTCAGTTAATGGAATCCAAAAATCTAAAGGAAAGAGAAGCTGCTGCTTTTAAATCAGGTATGTGTGTATGCATTTACATGTGCATACATTTTTTTGAAATGTTACACTATAATGATAAATTCCTATAAATGCAGTGAAACTATTTCATTTGAATCTACAGCATTTATTGGATTTCCACAAATGGATTAAGCTGGGTTTTTTTTCATGACTGCACAATGGATGTACTATGCAATTTTAATTAGTTATTGATATTCAGAATTGTAAAGTAATTCTAACCTCCATCAAAAAAGTCTTAAATGTGCATGCATTTATAGCAACTTACATAAACTACAAAATTGTATGAAACTAGAGATAAGATACATAATTGGTGTGTGTAAAATACAAGGTAAACAATCTGATAATAAATATTCTGAGGTGTGGCAATTCAATATAGTAAACAGTATTAGTAACTATTTTAAGTTACATGCAATGTACGGATTTTGAGATGCATTTTTCTGAAACAGCACAGATAATTTCCAATTATCAATAAGAATATGTATAATCCATTGTAGAGGTAGCTATATTACATTGTAAAGATTGTTGCACTGTACTATGGTAGCATCTTTGAAGTAAAATAAAACTTCTTTAGTAATCTAAAGCAAAAATTACTGCATTAACTTGCTGAAGACATTTGGGAACTTAGTTTGAGGCTCTGTAGGCAGTTGATCCTAAGAATTCACAATTCCTGTATCGTGGGGATACAGTGACCGAGAAACAGCTTTATAAGTAGTCAGCCAGTCAGGGTTCCCAGGACAGTCACTGAATTAGTTTTCTGCCCTTCTGCAAAGGTTGTGAATGGTCTGTTCTACTACATTTTCCTTTCTGACAGATTTTCACTCTGAGTCTTCCAGCAGAGAGAACTGAGCCCTTACAGCTATGTGTGTGTATATTAAAAGATGAGGTTTGATACATCCTGTACCCATGAATTTCTTCCGTTTCTGACTGAAAGCCTTAATAGCCTTAGTGTAAACTAAAGATTAATGTGTTTCATGAAAACTTTTCTAATGAAATACTGAATTTAATAGAATTTAATAAGCCCCTTAACATAAGTTTGCAGCGTGTACATGTAGACCTGTTTCCAAGGTGGGGAGGAATTCCTTATACCCTGTTTTCTTTCAGGTTCTATGGGATTTGTTATCAGTTGGCAAGAATTGCAGAGATGGAGAAGTGTGAATTCCCTATTGGTAGATTACTGTAGATCAGTACTCTGTCTGCTAGATTGTCATGGATTAACAGGATAAAGTGGAGGCTGTGGTTTCTGGGAGGAACAAAACAAGTGTTTATTTTAAAGCAACTCAGTCAGGGGAAAAAGCATTTCTTAAATTACCATAAGTTTTTTTGTTGCTAAAAAATTTTCAGTAGGCACTTTATTGTATTTCTATCAGTCAGCTAAAAATTACTGCCACGGGTGGGTATGTCTTCATTTAACTTAGTAAGCAAAGGCATCTTTTCTAATTAAGTGTTCGAGTGTTTGTCTTAACTTCCCTTTAGTTTGTGGTGGGAAGGGGCTGTCTGAAGTAGGTGTAAAAAAAATACTGAACACTGCTGAAAACTTGATGTGGAATGTAACAATGATAATTGCATCTCAGTTCCTGTACATCTGTGGTTAGATAACAGTGCTAGGATCATTTATTACTTTCTTAGGAACAGAGCCCTGAGCTCAAGGGGCCACCTTTCACAGTAAAGAGTTTGATTTAATTTCCAATTCCATTTAATCTTTGTTACAGTTGGGGCTGCCAACAAAGATGCCTGTTGTAATGGGATGTATCCACTAGGAAAAATTGACAGATGGTAACAAAATCTTGTACCAATAATCCAGGCTGTGTTTGAACTCATGACCTATATGTGAAGGGCTCAGTATCCCGTTACAAATCCCTTGAGCTGTCAACTCATCTGTGTCTAATTTTCAAAAAGACCCTGTGTCACACCTATTTCTTCTTTCAGTGCTTTACAGAAGTTAGGTTCCTTGTACCCTTTCTATCTGTTAACATCATTCTGATATTTTTTCCATGTTTTGGTTTGCTTGGATATTCTCTTTTTCAATTTCCAAGCCTGTCTTTTCTGTACTACCTTGTATTTCATTATCCATTTAAAGGGGGATAGTTTGGAATTTAATAAAATTGTTCAATACAATGAATTAATGCAAACATTTGTTTTAATGAATGTGACCCTATTTCATGTAACAAATTCAGGAAATTCCTCAGATTTTAAGTGAGGTTTTAACAAGGGAGGAAGGATAAAATTTGCGTAGAGATCTTCAGTTGTTCTTGTAAGAACTCATACAGTTAATAAGTGCATTGTTTGATATTTTCCTTAATCTGATCATAAAACCTTTCTGCTCTTTGCTATGAACAAAAAATGCAAACAAGTGTTTTCTAGAGGTATTAATTTGTTCTTTGAGGTTATTACTATTACTGTAACAGTAGTCCTATTATAACATAGTCGTAACTTAGTTTTTATTCAAGTATGGAATAAAAGGCAGTTTCTGTCATAGCTAGCTTACTTTTTTATTCTAATTCTTAACATCCTTTTCTCTCTTCATAAGCCTAGAACGGAGTTTGGCTTTGAGCTTCTTGTAATGGCTAATATCTAGTGATTTTATTGACAATTTGGGCTAACCATCTACTCCTTCATCAGCAGATCATGTCAGTAGTAGATGAATTCACAAGCTATGCAAAATTCCTCATGTTTCTCTCTGAAATTTTAGATAAGAAAAAATAATTTTCATATGTATTGTAAATGTGAATACAGAAATAAGCTGAAACAAATTGCATTTTTAATATGTAAACTAACTTATGTATCCAAAAAGCAGCATTTTTTATGCTATCCTTTATGGGACATTAAATAGTGGATATTTCATTTAGCATTAACCAAAGGAGCTAGTGACCTGCAAATTTAATATTTATTAAATTAGCATTATTTCAGCTTCTTTAAAGGAAATTCAGATATCTTCCTGTGCGACAGATACACCAGCATCAAAATAGTTTTGTGTAATTAAGTGCATTTGTCTGAATTCCAGACCTTCATGAGATGCACTCACATAAAATATCCTTTAGAAGAAAAGGGGCTGTTCAGAAAGATATTTACATACATATAGGGAGTAACTCTTGTCAGAAGGGCAGTGAGTCATGTGCTTTGCCTTCAAGAATGTTTGCAGATACTTTTTTTTTCTTCTGAATCAGGAGTCAGAGACTACTAATAAAAGTTATTCTGACTGGTGCATAAAATACCTACCCTTTATGGGAGTGCATTTTGAAGCATTAGGTTACAATGTTATCAAATCACAGTATACTCTTTCCCCCCTGGGCTGATGCTTTGAATCATTTAAAAACTCTGAAACTGTTTTTCCTATTGCACTTAGGTACTGAAACTTGTCCTGGCATTGGACCAAAGAAAGAAGATAAACAGCTGAGCACTGTTTCCCCAGATGAAAACAAAACTGAGAGACAGATAGAGGCAGGAAGTCTTTGGGTAGCTGCAGGAAAGGACCACATGGAGGAGCAGCACTGCAGTGCTGAATCAACATTGGAGCCACACACCCAGTCCACAGGGACAGTGGGCAGGCCTTCTTCGGGCTGTTTATCATCTGGGGATGCCGGTAAAGATAACAATTTGCAGCTGAGAGAAAGACAGCTCTCAAAGGATGCAGAAAAAACAGAAGGGACTGGGGAGCCTGGAGTGAAACTCCCTCTTGAGCCAATGGTAGATGCTTCAGTTTTAACAGATGGTGACTATATGCCTACTGATTTGGTTCCTTCTGATAAAGATGTGCAAGCTGATAGAAATCTGCTCAGATCAAAACATGCTGCTGGCTCTTCAGAAATTGCTAGTGCCCAGCTTGAAAATAATGATTTAAAGCAGCAACAGATACAGCCTGATGACGATGATGAAAAGTCTTCACGGGACAGAACTGCATCAGATGTATGCTCTGGGTGCCATAAAGTGTCTGAGCATGAGAGTACTGCCCATTCACAGGTGTGCAAGGAAATACAGAGAGCAGCAGGACAGGAGGAGAAGGTAAATAATGAAGAACAAGAAGATTTATTTCTCAGATTTTTAAATGGTAACATAATAGACACTGAGGAATCAATCTTAGAAAACCAAGAGGACTCAGACACTGTTCCAGATATTTCACCTGAACGAGCATCTTATAACTCACTGGAAGCTTTATCACTAGATGACAGCTTTTCTTCTCTTGATGAACTTGCAAGAAGGATAGAGATTGCTGAGGTAAAGATTATGAATTCTATAAAATCTTTCATGTTTGTCTCAAAATATTTTAGATATTTCCAACTCCAAAATGTGTTAAATATTCCTTAATATATCACTTTCAAATCTGAAATCTATACATATTTAATTGTTCTGAGTTATTTAGAGAAAAAAGTTTGGGTTTGCCTGTTTGTCTCCTTCTTGACCAGCACCACACAGTGTTTCTAAAAATTAGATTGATTTTTACATATGAGTATGAACAGCTGGTGTTTTTTAACTTTTTTATTCTGACAGAGACTGTTAGGAGGTGTTCTCATAATTCCTGTTAAATCAAGTTTCATGTCAGAGATGTACATAATACCTATGATGTAATGTGATTCATTTCTATTCAAAAAAACAAAATTTTCTTTTTTATGCCTATTCTGTAGAGGTGAGAACTACATATGTATAAATTCTGTATATGACTGTATGGGCTTCTAATTTTGCCAAGTTTATATAGCTTTGTTGTTCGACCAAAGCTAAGAAAGCTTCTGATCCTGAACCCACCTTTCTGAAGCACTGCTGATAGGCCACAACAAGAGTGAGTGCTTCATAAGCTAGGTTGCTCTTCTGAAAATAGAGAAGATTTATTGCTTTGGGACTTTTTTGGAAAGTGCATGACGACATCTTTGCTTTATTTCTTTTCTGATTTTGCATCCATGGGACCTTAAGAGCAATTTAAAAATAGTCACAATAGGATTAATTTACGATTTATCTATGTGAAATAGAACAGTACACCTCTGTTAAAATGCTGAACTTTCAGTGAGCTCAAAAGAAATCTAATGCTGAGGGATGATGTTTAAATTACTCTTCTGTTATACATGTATATGGGCTTAGCAAAAGACTTATTGTCTCTGTGACCAGTGATGATGCTTTACTGGGAATCTAATTTCATTTCTAGTTTGCTCCTCTGATGCTGGGACTGCCAGTACTCTGATGGCAGAGTTGAGCCTCTGCAGAGGAAAAAGTACCTTTAGTTTTTCCACAGTACTTTTTCTGGCCATATAAGGCTTAATGTTGGCTGCACTGGTGGGAGTCCATTTGAATCATTCTTAACAAAAGGCCTGAGTTGTGTGTGAGGCAATGGGTTTAAATTGGAAAAGAGAAGAAGGATTAACTTCAATAACAGTTAAAGTTTGTAATATGCAGCACCTGGGGTTGTTCTGCAATACATGAAATTTTTAGATGCAGCAGGGTGAGTTAAGGACAGCACACCAGCTTGTACTGTTTCATTATACTCTTATATTTTGTTTTTCCAATTAATCTTACCACCCATCACTGGCCTTGGGGTTTCATTTCAGAAGTGGTGAGCACCTACAGCTTTCCTGGGAGATACATTAAGAGTTTGCCACCCCTGAGAAAGCAGCATTGTTAACTTGTGTTCGTTGATTTTGTTTTAGTGCTAAAATAAGATTGCACTGATGTTTTGACAAGCAGACTGATCTTTGTAACCAGATCTTTGTAACTGTAAGACTTCTTCCTTTCTTGTCCTTTTGAAGCCATTGAAATTGCATTGTTCAGACTATGGCAACCTAAGAAGATAACAGTGTTTTCATACAGTAGCTGTTAATGAAATATTTAGAAAATGCATTGGTAGCCTCATGAATGAAATGAGTCACATGAAATGTACCAATGTGGCAGTAAAAAAGAAAAAAAAAATCAATTTGACTGTGATAAAACTTGTCATGGAGTGAATATTTACAAACCTGCCACAAACAAATTAGAATGGAAGGCAGAAGTAAAGATAATTTTGAAATAACCTAGATACAAAAATGATATGGTAGAACAAAATTTCATTAATGTTCTTCAATGGACATGTAATACTAATTTATTGATAATGGGAAAGGTAAATAGTTGTGCATGTATTTACAGTTAGGAAGTCTTGTTTGACCCCATATTGAGATCCAAGAATCATCTCCTCTAGTTTTCTAATTTAGATAGTTTGTCGCTTGCTTTTAGTCTGTCATTTACAATAACTCATTCCAAGAGTGAAAATCCACCAAATTCTGACTCTGACTTTAAAAAATTGCAAAAGTCAAATAGTACTTTGCATATTGTACAGTCCCTTATACTGCGTATTTCATCACTAGTACAAACTATGTACAACAACGTGCAAATGATGGAAAATCACTGTCATTTTATAGAAACAAGATTCATACAGCTAACAAGGAGCTTTGAAGCACAGTCAGCAGTTGGCAGCAACAGATATCAGAAGTGTATAGCCTCTTCTTAGATATCTTTGCTATCATTTCTGTGAGCATGAAATGACACAGCAACAGTGAAACAAATTGTGACCTTAATAATATCAGTTTCATTTTGCTGTATAAAGTAAAAATTTATAACACAAACTTCTTATGTGAGTGACAATTAGGGAAATGAGTAAAATCCTACTGCTTTTTCTGATTAGAAAATTATAATTTGAAATTTATTTTTATAAAGCAAAGATAAAGAGATTGTCAACCACAACATACAGCTTTTGGTTGGCACTGTTTATACACCAAGAAATGAAGTCTCCACCTGTCTGTACTAGGTTTGGAGAAAATGTTTCGGATTCCCTGTTCTCTTTTATAGCTTGGGTCCTGTAGTTTTGAGTTTGCAAGAACTACACTTCTGCTTGAAATGCTTATGTGGTATCTGAGCTATTTGTTGCTATGTAAAGGAGCCCTGGTACTTTCATGGCAAGTATATCAGCAGAAAAAATAGTTAAAATCTGTTACTGTGGTATAATACTGAATCTGCTAAGTTAGCTCCTTTTCAACTCAAATTATTCATGTATTAAATTTATTTTGTTAGCAAAAGGGTTTGTCTGCTGGTTTTATTGTAACCCAGGGTAGTCTTGGTTTTTGTCAGTTTGTCATACAGTTGTGGATTACTGCTTTAAAAAATCTGCTTTTGCTAGTAATGAAACTGTAGTCCTTTGCCAAGTAACTGAATAAGGAATACAGTCCACGGGAGAATACACAAACAAAACAGCTTCTTGAGTAGTTCTCTGCATTCAGACCAAAATACTTTATACAGTGAACTTTTTTTTCTAGTTCCCAGTTTGCAGTGCCTCCCTTTTGGGTTTTTATTTATATCTATATGGTACAAATAATTCTAATAGTGAGGTGCAATCTGTTTTCTCTAAGAGCTTGAAGCACAAGGCCTTACTAGTTTTGTCCAGTATGTTTATAAATATATAAATGTATACATCATATTTTTTGAATATATGTACAGTGCAAGAAGCTTTTTAATATTTTATTAGCAAATACTGTTTTAAACAGAGAAGAGACAGGTAGTTTAAATAAAGCTTATTTTTTCTAATTTTGCAACCTGGTTATTAAACTTTGTCCAAAAAGTGTAAAACTTTTCATTGAAGCAGAATTACTTTCTGTTAATGGTGGTAAAAAACAAAAAGCTAAAATATTTAAAAGAGTTTCAATTAACCAACAGTCATTGCTGCTTTCCTTTTTACTGTTGGTCAAAATGCCACCACACACCCATATGCCATTTTCAGTTTCTGTACAGTAATTATAAAAGTCAGAAGATTTTGTGAAGGCCAGCAGAGCTGAGAGAGTAAGCTCAGTTACACAGATGCTCCAAGACCATCTTTTGTTAATTAACTAGCTTAGAATTAAGAACATATCTTATGTTTCAATAGGTCCTTTATGCAGTTCTTTCATGTAAGAGATGTTTTCAGTGCAGTCTTGTGCAGGTCTACATTTTTCCTCCCGTAGTTCAAGTCAAGAAGAGGCTTGATTTGTGGTCAACTGTATTAACCACAGTTCCCTTGTTAACTTCAATTTACATAATATACTCTGTCTTTTTAAATTCCTCCTGCCTCCTAAAGACTGGGATTTAAAACTTCGTCTTGTGTGGCAGCTAAGTCCCTCTCCTTGGATGTTTAATTAATGGGAGATGGATCTAATATAATCACTTTGTATATTGCAGAACAAAACAAAAAAACCTTAATTACATGACTCATGAAATTCAAAGGCAGATGAAGTATATTTATGGCATGAAGCTGAGTCAGAGGAGGTTTAGGTTAGATATGAGGAAAAAGTGCTTCACCCAGAGGGTGGTCAGGCACTGGAACAGGCTCCCCAGGGAAGTGGCCACAGCACCAACCCTGACAGAGTACAAGAAGCATTTGGACAATGCTCTCAGTCACATGGTGAGACTCTTGGGGATGGTCCTGTGCAAGGCCAAGAGCTGGAATTTGATGATCCTTCCAACTCAGAATATTCTATGATTGTATTCTAGGTATGAAGTACATATCATGTAAAGGGGCCATTTTTCAAAATACAGCCTATGGTTTTTGCTGGGGTAGGAGAGTAACACTAACCTCGCTCTGTTTATTGCAAAATCAAAAGCACTTGCTCCCCTTTTTTAAGCAAAAGAAAATGTTCAGAATAGAGGAACCTGCGCTGTGTCAATTAGTTCTTTATACATTTAAAGTAAATTCTGAAACATAGCCATGTAGGCTGACAGGAAAAGTAAATGAACCTCATTGTAGCAAGACTTTCCTCCACAAGCCTTTTATGTAACTGTAATCACTGAAACACATTTCCACATAATCCTGTCAAGGATAGTCCTCTGGTTTTAAGCTTGGAGAAGACCGAGTTAGTGACACAGCAATTCAGAAACTACCACGAGCCAACAGATGAAATGAAGTGCCTTAGTCTGAAATGACGACTAGACCGTCACATCTAGTCTTAGGGCAGACTGGTATGAATGCCCTGCTGTCCCTGGGTGACATTCCCACCTAGTGCAGTCCGAGCCACTTGGGAACAAGCGTGCCAGGCGACAGCTAGCCTGCTGTGTGGGTGGTGTGGGAGGAGCCATTGATCCTCTTTATGTAAGCAGAAGCTTAAAATAATCTACTCTTCTAAAGGACATCATTTCATCTTCACCCTCCCAAATAAATAAATCAAATTAAAGCACTCCTACATGATCCCCCTTCATTGTCACAACAAGGAAGTTTGAGTGTTGCTTTTCCTGCTGGCCTCTTAAATTTTTGTAGTGGTTCTGCAAGGCTAATTTGACATTACCTGTAGAAGCCTCAGCTCAGTGTGCTTGTCTGTTGTGATGAGACTCTTGCAGACCATTATTTTTGGTTCATTTGTGCCAAATACTGGTCCTCTGTATGTTGACTGACTTTATTTCTGCCACCTCCACACTTTCACTAAATATTCATTAAATAATCCATTCAGGCTCTTGAGAAGATAATCAAAAAGGAAAGTGGGTATCAAAAGTGGTAGTGTGGCAGAGATCAATTTTATCCTCTCAGTTGGAATTTTGGGAGAAATTATTAGACGTGTAGGCATACACCCACAGTATCCAGCTCTGTAAGTTGTGCAGGGTAACCTCATTTGTCCGTTTGAGGGCTACAAAGTACTGCCAGACTACAGACTTGTATGTGTAATTGCTGAATTTATCAGTTAAAATGTTGCAAATACCAAAGTTGGTGCCTGTTGGATTGTGCTCTGTCTCTTGCTGTGTTCAGTCCAGTCTTACTACAGCAAGCATCAATGCATTATATAAGCTCATAGGATGAAGCATGTTTAAGGGCATAAGTTATGAAGTCACTTTTTTTCAGTTTTTCTACAGCTCTTGGAATTGCAATGCAAACAAGTTTTTATGGGTGCTCTTCTAACTTAATTCTGTTACAGGTAGAGTTAAGCAGTCAGTTTTCTGCAACTACGGTGTTACTTGGAAAGTTGGAGTTTTTTGAGTATTTGTGAAAATTATAGGCGTTTGGGGTCATCTCCTTATAGAGGAGTTGCAAACTCAGTTGTAAATGTGATGTTTCATCTGTGGCACAAATGAATACATATTACTTTTCAATTTAACAAATGTTATTGCTGATCTACAGAATGAGTTTTAAAAAGCCCTACTGAGTTCTAGGAAGAAATTATTAATTTTTTTTTTAAGTTAAAGATGCTCACAAGATAAAAAAAGAGCATGTCTAAACATGCTTCTTATTTTAATTTCTTTTTATTTCTAGCCCAGCGGGAACTACTTGCTTAGGAAAGCATTTGTCTCCTGATACTTCACCTACTTTCATTTCTCTAATAACTAGGAAGTTACAGACTGCTCATTCATGCCAGTATGGCTTAGCATATACTCTTGCAACTAGTCCAAATGCTATAGCAAACAAAAGAGAAGTTATGGTTTATTGACTTGTTGACTGTATTGCTGTTCGTGCACGTTGTTTGGATGACCAGCCTGTAGAGAAGGATTTTTGAACTGCTGCTGTATCCAGAGAGCTTATTACAATGTGGAGCTGGAATCTATCCAGAGCGTTGAAGCTTTCTTTTTCCCTGTTGTTCTCTCTGTTTGGTTTTGTAGCTCCACTGTAGCTGCTTGTCCACTCTGGGGAACCAATTGCAGAGCTGGAAAATTAATCTTGCAATAAGTATTTGATGGTCTCTGCAGGATTATATCTTTGGAGAGGCAGCAGCAGTGTGTCATTGACTTCTTATTGCCCTCTGATGATAGTGTTTTTGACACAAATCTGCCTCATCACTGCCCCAACCCATGTGAGCTTACAAAGGAACTGTTGCAGTGAACACAAAGGATGATCCAAATAGTAAATGTGTGTGTATTTAACTTTGGTAACACTTAAGGGCAAACAGCGTCAGTGAACAGTGGAATGATACTGCAGCTGTCCTGTGTGTTAAGGAATTGATGTTTTCAAGAAGGAGGTTTCACGAGTGCTGCAATGTTTAAGAAAAGTAGAGTGGAAAACATTTATTAACCGTTTAGCTCATTTCTTCCCTAAGTCATTGTTAAATAGAGCTCATGCTTCAATTTCTCACATCTGTTGTGCCACTCGCTGACTTTCTTGATAGATTGCTCCAGCGGAAGGATTGGTGTCTATACTAAAGAAGAGAGATGACAGAGATGGTAAAACAATTTCTCAAGTCCAGCAAAGACAAACAAAGAGAAGAGTGCGATTCCAAGAAATGGAGGACACATTGGATCAAGGTAATTTAAAGCTGTTAATTCATGGATTGCACTCTTGAGGTGCAAATGATGTCGATCTTTTTGTTCACAAGAGTAAAGCAGGCATTCATTGAACATACTGTCTTGGTTTTTTCCAACTTAATTAATAAGTAAAGGTGATTGATCAAAGATTATTAATCTCTACCAGGTTTGGGTAACAAGACTACAGAAGGATACAATAAGCACACTTCCATTTTAAAGCTTGTCTGAGAATGAAGTCCCAGTTTTTTTCATCTGACTGAATGATTTGCAAGTGGCAGCTAATGGAAGTTCTTTCATTAATGTTTATTGCTTAGAGGGTGGGAGGTGTAGGCTTTCTCCATAAATCCATTTACCCTGTGGGTAAAGAGGGATGCAGAAGAAACAATGTGTTGTCCTTCTTCCACCAGTAGCTTTCCAACCCTTTCTAGTAGACCAGGATTTTAACCTTGCTTTATAATTTAATATCCATACATATTTGCTAGCCATCATTAAATTTGGCTTTACACCCTACCACCTTTTTGATGGGCTGAATAGCCTCATGAGAAATACAGTATGTTGTTTTCTTCTGCTTTTCTTGGAGTTTAAGCTCTCTATTATTCAAACTAAAGAGATATTAAGAAAAATACTTTTGGTTGCTAATGATAGTACTTTCTATATCTACCGTGTATGCCAGCCACTAAATTTCTTTTCCTTGAAATTATTTTAAAAGTATTTATGTTTTAAATAAAATTTCAATTAGAATTTCTTCTATGATTTTTTCCCCAAGGATTTAGTGATTCAAAAGGAAAGTTGTTTTATACTACTATTGCTATTATTTCAAATCTGATTTCAAACGCACAAAAAAGCACATGAATCTTTCTTCTTTTTTTCTTCTTTTGCACTGTTTCTTCTCCCTGATGTAGAGTGAAGGGAGTTCAGAAATTTTCGTAGAGCCACATCAATCTAACAGAAGATGCAGATGTTGTTTTTACGTGCAGACTACCAAAGTAATCTGACCCCAAAGTAAAATTATGAGGTTGTGAGGATGTAGCAGCATCTCTGCAACCTCTGGTATTGCTCTTACTCTGTAATAAACAATCATGGAAAGAGGTAGCAGAGAATAACTGAAATGTAAAATAACCCTTCACATTACCCTGAAGGTTTTGTCTCTATCCTTACAGCCAAAATGTGAGAGGAAACACAAGCAGTTCATGGTAGCACAGTCAGTGTCATTACAAATTAAGCAAGAGTGTTTCTATTTGTTTTAGTTTCAAAGCTTTCATTTCATTTCAACTATTTCCATGAAGGAAGGCTTTGGCAGTGTGGCATTCTCATAGGTGAGTGCATTTTGCTTCTGTGTGGAACGAGTCCACAAGTGATATGATCAAGGACAGGTACACAGACTGCAGAAACGAAGCTATATAATTAGGTTTCTGAAAAGGCTGAGAAACATACAATTACTGCTCTGTATTTTGAGCATTATTAAGTGTGTTTACCTCCTGACCCATTTGTGGTAAAAACTTTTCTCAGATTTTCTCGCATGTGTTTGTATTGCTTTGTATTTCATCCTTTTTCACCTTTTCTGCTCTTATTTACAGATGAAGTATCTGGTGGCTCCTGTATTTTGCTGATCCTGCTGTGCATAGCAACTGTTTTCCTTAGCATTGGAGGAACTGCATTGTACTGTACCTTTGGTGACATGGAATCCCCTGTGTGTACTGACTTTGCTGCCAACATGGATTTCTATTATACACAGATATTGCAGCGTATGGAAGAACTTAAACACTGGATAGCCTTCTCATAGTTGAAATGAGCAGGGACAGCACATCAAGAGCTCACCAATGGTTACTGGAGAGGGTAGAAAAAAATTGTGATTTCAAGTTCTCTAACACTTGCCACCTGTGGGTGATGTGTATTTGTTGATATACTTTCACTTTTACTTAGAAATCAAGAAAATTTTAGTTTAGCAATCAGGTGGCAAAATGTTCACATCTGTTCACAATTGTAGCAGTGTGGTATGGGAGCATACCTTCACCCTTTTGAGAGTAGGCAAGTCGCTTTTCATCAAGTTGAGCAAGTGAAGAAGAAAGAAGAAAATTAACTATCTTCTGTATTCTCTCCCATTGCCACACATTGTGTAAGCAATCTCTGGAAGCTTAGCAAAAGGACAGCTTTAATTTACAGCTGTTTGTGCAAAGGTGTTGCCTCCAGCTATCATGCAATAAGTCTGTGTTTTATGGAAACGTTATTTTTCTTCTAAGTCTTACTGTTTTTCTCCGTATTTTTTCTCCTGGTGAGCCATGTAATTATTTGGTGGAGTGAGAAGACTGCAGCAGCATTCATGGAGCCCTCATTTGGTGATTACCAGGCTGACCTTGTATCTATAGCTTACAGTGAATATCATGAGTGGGATAAATCTGCTGGCAGATTTCACTAAATTTCCTGGACCTCTACTCTCAGTATTGTATGGGTTGATTTAGAAATGGAGGGTTAAAAAAGAAATCAGTAGTTTCACTAAACAGAGAAACAAAAGTAGGATGTTTAGTAAATTATTCATATTAAATAGTCAAGTGTCTTTGGCCAATTTTAAAGCACCTGGTAGAAGGTGTGGGGCTAACTGGCTTTTCTGTCCAGCCATGTCACTGACTTTGAGTAATCACTTTGTGCCTCAATTTCTCCTCCATAAATGGGGAATAATGATCCTTGCCTTTGTCTATGAATATTTATTGCAATTAGGGCTCATGTCTGATTCATCCCAAATGAGTGCACAGAATCACAGAACTGTGTGGCTGCAGCCTCTCTCAATGAATGAATGTTATGTAAAGTGCGACTGATCCAACAGAAAAGATTCAGAGGCTCACCACAGATGTGGTGAGTATGTTAGTGGTCTAGGGCACTTGTTCCAGCAGATAAAGCACATTTGCATCTATTTGCCCTGCAGTTCTGAGACCTGTACTGTAAAATCTGATCTTTTTCTATTAGCTATACAAACAAATTTAGATCAATACAAAGAGTCATTTTAAATGGGTATTTCTATTGCTTGGTGCTCAGCCCTCCCTGCGTGGTGGTATGTGAAAGAAACACTGACAGGACAGTGAAGGTGAGAATTAGATACACAGGCCTTTGGCCTACACGCTGGTCAAAATGTGGCAACTCTCCTTGCACAGAGCATAATGGTCTAGCCCTGCTGAAGTGTGAAACAATTCCTTTACACCTCAGGAAACAGCATTTTTGAGGGATCCGCTTCACTCCACTCCGTGATTTCATGCTTACTGACATTGTATGATGCAGTGTGTTCAGGTTTAGGATATTGTTTTGTAAAATGCTATGAAGTGAAATCTTCAAAATGCTACTCAGAATTATAACGTTAAATGATCATGCTTTCTGGCATTCGCAAGTAAATTGTCCCTCTAGTGAGCTTGATTGTTCCTAACGCACTGTTACACTTAACGGGTTTTTAAAGTGAAATTTAAAATCATGTTTTTTCTAGAATAAACTGCATGTATGATTTCTCTTTTTGTTTTCACTGTGAAGGCTTAGTTTATTTATACCCTACGGAGCCTCGCGTGCAGCTTTATATTAAGCTAGCAAATTTAAAATGCCCAAAGTAATGAAAACTTTTGCTTTCAGAATGAAACTTGAGAACAGTAGTTTGATATATTTTTTTGTTTGTTGTCCTCAGAGTATTATAATGCTGGGCTATCTCAAGGAGAAAGGGAAAGACACTTTTGTATTTTAAAGTGTTACTGGCTGGTTCAGTTTATTATTTGAATTCTGGGTTTGTTTGTTTATTTATTTAGTTCATCTTTTAAAGAGAATCTTAATTTTCTTTTTTGGTAATTTACTTACAGAGTAATTAAAATGCATGCATTCAGTTAAAATATGTATTTATAGTGATTATGTAATTAGAATGTATTTTGGGTTCTGTAACTTTGCATTGAGTGTTTCAGGATATTAAGTTTATTCCTAAGGAGACAACTGTTGATTTCAGGGTAAAAAAGTCTTTTAAACTTTTTGTGCATTTCATCACCAAAAAGATCAAGAAGTATATATATATCTATTTATTCAAAAATTTATCAGACATGGAGGCCAAGGATCCTCTACTTCTAGGTTCATTTAATTAAAACTATTTTAAAATAATTATTTTATTTAAAACTCTAAAGCTATTTAAAGTCAAAGCAATTTTTAATAAGCATTTCAGTTTCAAATCAGTAGTCCAAATCCTGGTATGTTCGCTTTGTGCTATATTCCTTGCACAGTCAGTAATATCAGCAGAACTGCCTCCGAGAAGATCATGAGGAGGTTGGGCACCACTTTACCAACATGTGCCCCTTGAAAAATGAGTGACCAGGTGTTCTGTGTAACTTAGCTACCTTATACTTGTTACTTGGAGAACCTCTCCAACCTTCCCAACCTATGCCAAGGTACCACACCTGCAAAGTCTCTCAGGATTTGGAGGAGCAGAAATGGCACACACACATAGGCTGTCCAGCTCCTTATCTGAGCTGCTCACTTCTCAGTTGCAACCAAGTATCCAGTTTCTGTTGGCATTCCTTTATAAAAAGCTGATGATATAAATTGTTGGTTCGTGTGACAATTCTGTTGGAGCAAATAGATTGCATGGTTTATAGTACATTATCAAACTTGTACTTACCAACACAACAAAATTTGCTTTGCATTGGAACTCCAAAGAGTGTGTGGGTAGGCCTGATATTGGCCTTCCTATATACTCTGTCCTTCAGACTACTGGTGACATTGCTTCCACCTGGGTGACCTCAGGGCTTAGAATCTTACAGTCAAGTAAATCCAAGTGAAAAGGAATAGTGGATTTGAGCAGTTATTCCTCTTTTCTGAGTATTTTGAGGTAAAATAATAGCAAGCAACAGCTGAGATTGTTTAAGGAAGAAGAAAACAGAGGAAAAAGACTTCTCCCTCACGCGTACTTGGTGCATTTAAAAGCCTTTTGTGTACAAATTCTTATTTGTTCTGTTTCCTTCCCTGACACTGTCTTCATGCTGCTCTGCTTGGCAGTAGGAGAAACATACTATGCTGGCATAAAACCATTTGTAGTTGGTAGGAAAATTCAGAGAATGGTTCTGTACTTGACAGTAGTTAAAAGTAATTTCTTAAAATATGACTGGATTTTAGGCTGCTAGTACCTTCAGAGAAGTTGTGGCCACTTAATCACCTGCAGAACTCTACTAGAAACCCCCACCTTCCTGTTTATTCTTTGACCATAATTATTTTGAAGAGATTCTTGTGATAAAGAAAAAACAATAAGACTTTTGATGTAGATTCAGCACATGCTGCCAAAAAAGAGCTTTTTGACAAGAGAAGTAAGGCACTCACCCCAAACAGCCTAGACTACACCAAAAAAAAAGCACTGTGATGTAGCATAGCCACACTATACTACAGGCTTGTTTTCAAGATAGTGTAAGAAAGCAGAGATTCCATAGCCCAGATATGCCAGCAGAAGTCTGTGATCTAGACACAGCCTGTGTTTTAATTTTTTTTCATTATCTTTGCTTTCATACTTGCAAAATGCATAGCCCTGGTGACAAGCAGTAAGAAGTAGTGTAACGAAAAGGGAAACTTTTGTTTAGGGTTTTCGGTATTAAAGGGCAAGTTTGAACTATCACATAAGCAGAGTACATTGGAAGTCCAGATTCTTGTGTGACTGGGTACTGTTCCACTTAATAACTTAAAGGGATGTTACCCTCCTAAAGGAATGTTTGCTTGCTTTGTACTGTAATGTAAAACCAAGAACATCTGAAAGGAATCAAAACTATTTGTAACAAATTTAATTTAAGCTTCCTTTAGCAAAAGGAGTAAGTAATTGTCTTTGAAATCATCACCCAAGCTTGTAATTTAAATACTGTAGCAAAAAAAATAAAAACTGTCCCAAAGAAAATACATTAACCTTTTTGGATACTGTGATTACTAAATGTCAAGAAAGACTGAGAAGATTTTCTGTGAAATTGAAGTAAATGAGCAGTACCTCCAGTAAGAATTTAATGGTCAAGCCTAAACCAGAATGGAAAATGAGGATAAAACATGTAAGGTTTGGTCTGGTTTTTGGTGTAGTTTTCCTGGGTTGGTTGATTTGTCTTTGTTTCAATAGTTAAATGAAAACCTAGCTTCCTCACAGAGCCTTGTTCCTCTAGACAGGTGGGTTTCAAGTACTAAAATGTTGCCTTACTGCATCATCATAAAAACAAATGGACAGGTGGTAAGTTTCAGAATTCCTAGTAATTAGGGGGTGACCTGAATAGTGGTCACAGGACATTCTGACCTCTGAGCTCAATTAAATAAATAAAAACCCAAACGGTTGCAATGCAACCCAACCCAGAAGCCTATGATTTGAACGGGAGCATGCCAATGTTACGTTCTGCAACACTCCTCCACCCGCTTTTATTCCTTCGGTCTCCCTTCCCCTTTACCATTTCTTTCCCAGTATGAAATAGCATGTGTTTAATCATTCACTGGACCATAAGGTAATTGAGTTAGGAAGGGACCTCAGAAAGTCTCTTGTCCAACCTTCTACACAAGGCAGGGTCAACTGAGATCAAACCAAATTGCTCAGGGCTTTATCCAGTCGGGTCTTGAAACCCTCCAAGGATGGAGATTGTACAACCTCCCTGGGCATATTCTTCTGCTTGGCTGTCCTCAGAGTGAAAAAGTTGTTCTTTATACCCTGTCTAATCTCTCTTTCAGTATGTTGTCTCTCATTCTTCTGATACACACTGCTGTGAGAAAGCTTCTTAGTAACATCTTCATAAAAGCAATCCCTTCTCCAGGCTATACACTGTGTTTTCTAACACTGTCCCTCTGATCCTTCTCACTTTCTTGTCCACAGATTCTTCTTTCCTAAAGGGATCCAGTGTTCTTCTATTAGAATAGGGATCCTCTATGCTTCTCCCTTTCCTCTTTCACCTTACACTCTCAAATTCAATATTAAGTTTTAGAAATCAGAAATGAGGCCACAGGCAAAACTGAAATAGCAAGTACAACTACTATTCATTAAAAACTATTGATGACTATCACTGGTTCATTAGTGTATAGCAGGGATTTCAGAATTTCTGCTGATTCTCGTACTACTCTTAAATAGCTGGTATTTAAAGGATCACATGCTGACATCCTTGTGCCTTAATGAAATCATCTAAATATTTTTCTCTAAAACAGCTACCCAAGGAAGCCTAAAATATTTAAGTATAAAGTCCTTTTTTAAAAATGAATTTTTTAGACTTTGAGGTTTTTTAAGGCTCCTTTATATTATTTGTGATTTGTATTACTTTGAATTAAATCTCATGGTAATTCTTGTTTGTCATAACATGACCCCAGGGTTTACTGCATTCAGTAATGTCCAAAAATTTTGGTTATCTCTTGAAAAAAATGATGATGGGGAGTAGATGCATGTTCTGACAGCTATTACAGAATTGATACCAGTGAATTTCAGCAAAAATTGTGCACTTGGGTTCAGCTTGAACTTTTAATATGCCAAATATTCTAAAATAAAAAATGTAGAGACAGCACTGAAGCACATCCAACATTTCTAAGGCATGTTCAATACTAGACCAAAGTCCTTCATTAATCTAAAATTGTTAGGCTGCTCTTTCTTGAAAACAAGTTTGAATTCATCTTCACATGACAACAGATCCATCAGCTTTCTCCCTCTGCTTTTTGCCAAGGAACTGTCTGGCAAAGTGTCATCTTTTATCCAAGTTGGGCCCCTGATGTAGGACTCATTTGTTAGGCTGTTGGGAAGTTTCCAGTAGCACTTCTGTCAAGTGACAGTTAATGATTGTGTCCCATTTCATTGCCTGGCAGTGAAAATGAGTTTAAGCCCCACCATTGTGCTTTCATAGACTGATCAAATTTAAAGCTGTTACCAGAAACAACTTTCAGAGTGAGAGCTGTATGTTTTTCAGAAAGTGCCATGTGCCAAGTACTGTGATGAGAAAACTTGACCGGTTTTCCCAGTTTTGCTAAAACATGTCCAGATTCCACAACTGCTGTTTGCAATGCATGGAAGCTCGTGCAGTGGTTCCAGTAGTGCATTAAGCTGGCCAGAAGTCAGTCTGTTCTCCTGAGCTGGCAGCCTTGCACAAGAAGGTAGTGGCTGGATCAGAAGTGGTGAAAGCATATATGCGCTAGAAGTTGAGCAGCATGAGGATATTGTTACTTCCGTGTAAACCTTTCATCTAAAAATATACTTTCTTTTAAAAAACCCCTTTCATCTAGGAACCATTCATCAGGGTTTTTTCATATCTTTTTCTTAGAGAAAGACAGCATTAAGCCAATTCCTCTGTTTCTTCCCCAGAAATAGGAATTAATGGGTTTTATGCCAGAGAAAATATACATCTTGCCACGTGATGCTGAGAATCCTCATGCTTGTACAGCTTTTCTGCCAGAATTTCTAATGAAATTGGTAGATAGTCTCTGAGGCTATGAGAGTAGCAAGAATATTTTCACACTACTTTTCCTGAGCTAGCTGAATTCAGTGCACTATAGAAAGGACTTGCAGCAAAAAAAGGGAGCAAAACGTTTGAATCACTAAAGATCTGTACAGTCAATTTCAATCTACCATCAGAGAAACTGGCAAGCTTGGTTCAAAAAGACCCACCATAAATAATAGAAAAGGTTATATTTGAAAAGAGTTATAAAGAAAAAAAAAATTATACTGAGGTTTCTCACTGACTTTTCGAAGATTGAGACTTTTATGTAGAAGTTAGTAAGTTAAATAAGGGGAAACAACTTCTCAAGGTTGTACAAAGGTAAATACCAAGTATCTTATGGCTAAAAGGGCTGCAGAAATTATATAATAACAACCTTAGATCAAATATGGTAATTTTTTTTTTGTAAAGGTTAAAAAATATTTCTGATAATGAAACCCCCCATCAGTGATGGGGTTTTTTTCATGAGATTTTACAGAAATGGAAAAAAATACACAATTGTTTAATGACATCGGGGAAGAAAAAGGACTAAGGGTTAAAATATTGCTGAATTCTTTGTAGGACTCCTTAGGAGCAAGTAAAGTGGTTTGTACAAGGTCATGTAGCAGGAAGAAGCAGAGTAGGACCAGAGCTTATAAATCCTATCTTCTGATCTTTTGTCTGTTACCAGTTCCCTCTAGGACAACACAAATTAGGGAAGATAAATGAGTACCTTTTGGTCATGGTATTTTTTAAGACTTTAAGATATTTTTATATTCTCATAAATTTTGTGGTGATCTTAAGGAATCAATTTTATTCAAGGGATGAATTTCCTCTCTAGTATGCAGCACTAAGTCTAAATGCCTTTTTAGCATATTTTTAGTACTTGATATCATCATAGCCATGGTAGCTGGTTGCTATTTATGTGTATTAAAGCAAATGGTATCAACAGACCACATGGGAACACAAAGTATAATGGCAACTCCTATTATCAGAAAATGAGGCTCAAGCTGTCTGTAGTCACTTCATGTTTCACCATCTAACCCTTACTCTGTTAAGTACCAGGAAAGTAACAATGCTCAGCAGAATGAGCCCTGCTGAGAATCCTAATCAGGCCACAATCTTGCAACTCTGCTGGGCTTCACACAATACCTATCCCTGTGCCAAGAGTGAGGAAACAAAGCGATGTGGAAAGAAGTCACAGTCACCCGACCCTGCCTCCCAGCCCAGAAGAAATAAAGTTCTTGTGAGACACAGGAATGTTTTGACCATGAACTGGATGTTGTCATCACTGTCTGCAAATGTGAAAGATGAAAATAATTTCAAATGTTCTTGGTGTCCCTCAAAATGCCTTTAATAACCCTTTTTTCATTTCAATTTTTGTATTGCTGAAAGCTTTCTCTTAGTTGAAGGCAAAGAAGAAAATTACACAATGTTTTGGGTTGGGTTTTTTTTTGGCATGTACTCTCTCTTATATTTTTCTATAAATACAGCATTACTTTTCTGAGTCAATTCACTGGGTAATAGCCCATGGTTTACCTGCAAAGGCAAAATAGATGGCCATTAGCAATAAATGACTCATGTATTATAAAACAGCTCCATTAAAAGGAACCATCCCCACTGTCTCATGCAGTAGGATGACGAAACTATTTTCAGGGAATTAGCTGAATTTTGCAATGGAGAGCAAGCCTTGCACAGCCCACCCGCACTGCCAGCTCAGTCTGGCAGTTTGTTTGTCTTTGTACTGGGACTTTTCGCAGCTACCATTGTCCCAGTACAGAGCAACCAGGGAGGCAAGTATTCTTCCCTTTGCTCCTTTGATCACAGAGATGGCCAGCAGCTGCAGATCTCTCAAAGCCAAATGGAACAGTAGAGTCATCTGTAAAGACATCTGGAGTTTCAGTCATGAAACTCCAAAACTGCAGATCAAATGTTCTTCTTCAGGATCTGAGCCTGAAATTGGTTTGCCTACAGTTCAGCATAGAAGAGACTGTACACTGTGTCCTGTGGTCCTTTCAGGAGTATTTCAAAGCGCTATCCCAAGCGCTCCCAAAAATGTTATAAGAATCTAAACCTGCTGATCTTCCACAAGTAGAAATATGTAGTATGAGGACTGAAGGCTTTAGGATCCCTGAACAGGAACATCATGGCAACCCTGAAAATACTTGCAGAAAGTTCTGAATGGAAAGAGTGCTGCTGAGACTGCCTCGGGATTTCAATATCATTCAAATAGGATCAAGGACAGACTTCAAATAGTTTCTTAAGGAAAAAATGCTACATTCTGTAGCACTTACCATCACAGAGCACTTGGCATCACAATCATGAATTCAAATATGGTTTAACAGCTTACACTAGGACACAGACAGGGCAAGTTTAAAACTATTTTTTTCTGTCTCTGCTCTGAACTGCAGTGTTACATAGAAGATCACTTTCTTTCTAGGTCTGCCCTTATATTCTTTTCTATTTTATTTTCCTCAAATC